TTTTCCAAAACTTTGAGGTGAAACGGCTGTCACGATCCGACACAATCGTTAACGAAGCACCTTGAAGCCTCACAATTTCCTTCACGTAAGAATTCGCAAGCTTATCCATAGACCATTTCTCATTGGATGCTATGAAGTGTGCACTCTTAGTGAAGCGATCAACGACCACCCAAATCATGTCGTGACCGTTCTTTGTTCTGGGCAGTTTAGTGACAAAATCCATTGCCATGTCTTCCCATATACCCATGAGTACAGGCAAAGGTTGTAAACTCCCATATGGTTTCTGATGTTGTGCCTTAACCCTCGCACAAGTCACACACTCGGCCACATACTTTGCAACATCAAGCTTCATCGTCAGTCACAGTAGTAGGGTTTCAGGTCCATATACATTTTAGTGCTGCCACGATGAATCGAGTACATGGTTTTGTAAGCTTCTTCCATAAAAAGATCTCTTATTCCTCCTGACTTAAGTACCCAAATACGATCTTGGAATACCTTCAGTCCATGACCGTTTGTACCAAACACCAACGTTTTTCCCAAACGTTCCTCCTTTCGGTCATTTTTCTCAGAAGCTTCTTCTTGAGCTTTCTTTATACTCTCCACAATTATCGAGACAACTTCTATTCTTAACGCTCTTGGCCTTTTTCTTTCAAGATTGACTTTCAGACTGAGAGCATCAACAACAACATTAGCTTTACTGGGGTGATAAAGTATCTCACAGTTGTAGTCCTTGAGTACTTCTAGCCAATTTTGCTGCCTCATATTCAATTCTTTCTGATTAAAGAGATATTGGAGAGTCTTATGATCAGTGAAAAGTTTTCACTTCGTACCATAGAGGTAATGCCTCCATATTTTAAGAGCAAAAACTACCACTGCCAACTCCAAATCGTGTGTAGTGTAGTTCTTTTCATGCTCCTTCAACTGTCGATACACATATGCTATCACCTTTTCTCTTTGGGTCAAAACACAACCCAACCCAACACCTGACGCATCACTATAAACAGCGAAGTCTTCAACTCCATCGGGTAGAGAAAGAATCGGTGCCTCACATAGCTTCTTCTTTAGCTTCTCGAATGCTTCCTTATGCTTCTCGCTACAAGCATAAGTAGCTCCTTTGTGGGTCAAAGCTGTTAATGGAGTAGCGATCGAAGAAAAGCCTTGGATAAATCTTTGGTAATATCCGGCTAATCCTAAAAAGCTTCGGATCTCCGTGGGACTTTTCGGTTGCTCCCACTTCATCACAGCTTCAATCTTTGCTGGATCAACCATTATCCCTTCCTGGTTGACCACGTGACCCAAGAATTCGACTTCTCGAATCCAAAAATCACATTTGGAGAACTTTGCATACAACTTCTTCAAAAGTTCTAACACTTCTCGCAAGTGTCTGCCATGCTCCTCTTGGCTTTTCGAGTAAATCAGAATGTCATCTATGAACACTATCACAGATTTATCAAGGAATGGATTGCAGACCATATTTATTAAATCCATGAACGCTGCTAGAGCATTGGTTAGTCCAAACGACATAACCAAGAATTCATAGTGTCCATACCTTGTTCTGAATGCAGTCTTCTCGATATCCTGCTCTCTCACTTTTAGTTGATGATATCCTGAGCTTAGATCGATCTTTGAGAAATAGCTCAAACCTTGCAATTGATCAAACAGGTCATCAATCCTTGGGAATGGATATCTATTCTTTATTATTGCCATGTTCAGCTCTCTGTAATCGATACACATTCTCATACTTCCATCTTTCTTCTTCACGAATAACACCGGAGCTCCCCAGGGTGATGAACTAGGTCTAATGAAACCTTTGTCCAATAAATCCTAAAGTTGCGTCATCAACTCCTTCATCTCCATTGGTGCTAATCGGTACGGTGCTTTTTCTATCGGCGTGGTTCCTGGTAACAAGTCTATTCTGAACTTAACTTGTCTATCAGGTGGTAATCCAGGAAGATCTTTGGGAAATACTTCCGGATAATCACATACCACTGGAATACTCTGCATCACCTTCTTTTCCTTCTTAGCATCGATCACGAATGCTAAATATGTTGTACATCCCTTAGTCAAACACTTTATGGCTTTCATTAGGGAAATGATTCCATAATTTACTCGACGTTTGTCCCTGTACACCATAAATGACTCTTTCCCTGGCGGGTTTACTTTTACTATCTTCTTCTTGCATAAAATCTCGACATCATTGGTGCTAAGCCAATCCATTCCCAACACGATGTCGAAACCGTTAAGTCGATAGGCAATAATTCCTTGTGAAAATTATTCCCATTCAAGTCGATTAAGATGTTTTTCATGCCATGACTAATAGGTACAAACTTGCCACTAGCAACTTCGACTAATAACGCATTATCTAGTCTATCAACAAGCAAAACTAGTTTTCTACCAAACTCATGCGAAATAAAGGAGTAGTTGGCTCTAGAATCAAACAAAATTTGAGCAGGTAATTTGTTTACGAGAAAGGTACTTGAAGCGACATCAGCTTCATCTTTCGCAGCCTCAAGTGTCATCTGGAAGGCTCTCGCCTTCAGCTTTGGGGGAATGTTGGGTTTTGTTGTCTCTTTCTTCTTCGGACAGTCTTTCAAAATGTGCCCCTCCTCGTTACATCCATGTAGAATCTATGAATCAAGTTTGAATACTAATCAGAGTGAGTAATCAAGATTTGAATGAAAGATTGAACACATATGTAAATAAGATCTCGTTTCAGCTCAATATTATGCTTTGCTTTTTACAGAGTGCAAAACTAGACAAGACTGTAAAGAACCTTATCTAACTCTAGTAAAGACTCCTAATTATAGGAGAGTAAAAGTGTACAAAAAATATACTAAGGACTAGACATTAAATCTTCGTACAAAATGCCTTAGTAAAATAGATATCAAACCATATGAAGAGTACAAATAAGACTTCGACTCTTTACAACCTAACAACCCTTACATTCTGCCTCTTTGTAAACAAAGTCGAAGACTTCAGTTTGTACGTAGTTGAATAGAGTATAGCATAACTCTTCGCATTTCAGTATACCACAAGATTATCTTCTTCAGCTCCTTCTTGTCCCCTTCATTATTCTTCTTGCAATGATTCATACGAACAATTAAGTTTGTATATTGCGAAGTGGAATATCTTTCAACTTCACATGCCTCGAACAAAAATCTCTTCGACTTCCTAGACTTATCGTTCCGAGAGAAGACTAAGCCAAAAGGCTTCAAGCATATTTCACCATCTGCATATTTCTTCAATTCTGCTCGAGTCTTTGAAGGTGCCATTGGTGCTGTAATTTCCAACCCTTATGTTGTAGCCAACTCCATATCTCTCATTAGACATTCATAATAATTCTTGATAAAAATTTTGATGTAAGTAACTCCCAACTTGTATTCTTCAGGCTCAGTGTTTTGAAGATATGAGAATGATCTTTCTTTCAACAATAATGCAACTTGTATAAGATCATACAAGTTCATCAAAGGAAATTATGATATAGTAAACTCACACACATCTCCATTTGCCCTGGTCACAGCGTACTTCATGTTTTGGACTGTGTTTTCGAAGACCACGTCCTTCTTTATACTCATGACCTTTTTTATTTTGATTAAGGACCACACTTCTTCTGCAGGCTTGGCAAGAACTGTATGAAATCTTATCTTTATATGTGTGCCTTCATCCTTATCCTTGAAATTACTTTCTGCTTTGAACTGAGGCATGATGAACATCATTTTGTTAATTGGAAAGTCCAATTGGCTTGCATCTGCATTCGTAACAATAAAACTTTGTTTAGGCTGCTTCTCAAACGAATACATGTGGTTGAATGTAACCCTGGCTTCAATTGTTTCATAGTTGTAATTCTTTGATGGATCACCCTTGTTCATGTAAGGAGAATCACTAGCCCTCTGAGTCATAATGCTTTGAATCATCCTCATCTTCTCTACTTCTTCCTCAGCCTCTTCCTTCTTCTCCTCTTTAGATTTTTCGATTAAGATTGACTTCTACCTTGCCTTCGAACATGATTCCTCTATCACTTCTCTTCTAACAGAATCAATAGATTTACCAATCACAATACCTTTTGAAATAGGCCTTGTAATTGGCATAGTTGTAACAATTGTAGAAGTGATAGGATCATCGGTTACTATCACTGGTTTTGATGTAGGGATTTTGGAAGGAAATACCTTACCCAAAACCTTCGCATCTTCAGCACTAGCCTTCGTACCTTCACCTTTCTTTTCTCCCCCTTGCACCCCTGTGCTAGCAGGTGGGGCATCCATAGCAGGAAGAAGGCTTGATATGCGAGAAAGAGGAGCCAACTGCTGAATAAGTAAGGCTTCGAATTTTGAAAATTTGTGGATAAGATCCTCATAGGGTAGTAAGGAAGACAAAGCAGGAGCAGAAGATAAAGCTTTAAGCTCCTTTAGCATTAAAAAGACCTCTATGAAATTTTTATTCTCAGTTGTAGAAAGTTGAGTAATTTGAGGACTCAAACTTTCGTACAACTTTGCAAATTTTGTGACACCATCGCAAATGATGTCCACCTTTTGATTCAGAGAAGCAAACTCATTACGGACGTTTTCAATCTCCTTCTCCATATATTGTCTCAATTCTTGAAGTTTGTAATTTACATCTTCTCGCACATTCTTCACATCCTGAATGAATAAAATGTGTCTCTCCTTCGCAACTGACTTTAAGTCCTTCAGATCACCATTAAACGAAGACTTCTGAGCATTGACCCTCATGTCATTATTCTGATCACAAATGTCAATTTTCTCAAGAAGACGAGACTCAGAATCTTTAATCATCCCAGACACCTTCGAAGAAAGCCTTCCTTCAAGCATCTTCATCATATCATCTACTTCCAGACTTGTTACAGAATTGCCTCCTCCAAGACCAGGCTGAGACTGAAGAATTGAATTAAGTTTGGTATTCAATATCTTGAATTGTTTCATTGTCATCAGCATATGATCTAGAAAGTCTGTCTCTTCTTCATCAAAATCTAAATTTTCAAAGGTTCAGCCAAAACCTTCGGATTCATGTTCAGTTTCCATGAACGAAGAATCTTTGATTGGTGAAGTACTGGTAGGCGGAGCAGTGGATTGGGAACAAAACAAAGATGTGAATGGTTGTTGAATAATAGTTGCAAAAGTAGGAGAATCTGTGGTAGATGTTGTTGGAATTTTAGGTGTAACATGTGAAGAGAAAGAAACTGTTGTGACTGGGATAGCATCCGAAGATTTACCTTTTTCTTCAACATGTGAAGCATCCTCACCCATTGTGACACTTGTATCCATATTAGATATGTTTACAATGATGTCATAAGTTTGTGCCTCCACAGAAACTGTCTTGGCAATCGAAACTTCGGGTGGTATTCTAATATCCTTTTGAAGATCAGCTTCTGGTGTCTCTGGAATAATTTCAGTTTCATCAACTGTAGATTCGGATGACATAAACACTCTTCCGTTTGTCTTCTTTTTTGAAATATGCTTAGCCATGTCTGTTTCCCTTCTCTTTTTAGAAGATGGTGAAGCATGGGTAGGAATCTCGCGAAAAATGACTCCTTGATGCGAAACCTGCGGTTTACGAACAACATTTGTCAAAGGAGAGCGAATCTTGTGCTTAGACTTCATCTTTATTCTTTGCAAAAAAAAAACTCGTCTTTGAAGGAATAACTTCCTTTTGAATCGAAGGGATATCAGCAATAACAACATCTTGTTGGATTGGCTCAGGCTCTGAGATTGGAAATTTCTTCGGACTCTTTTCTGATCTCTTTGGCAGATTTCTTCGAAGATTTAGCAACAACCTTCTTCGAATGTTTTGATTTCTTCTCTTTTTCTCTGACTAATAGAACCCCGGTTTCAACAGAAGTATTAATTTGTTGCAAATAAGTAACAAGAACGGTATTGGTGGGATCAACTCTCTTTAGCATAGCATCCGGAATGCGAGCAACAAAAGGAAATTCATCGGAATCGTCACCTGCATCCTTCGGACAACTATAGATATGGAACACCGCCTTTTCTTCGTCTGCTGGCACCAAAATTCTTTCCTTCTCATAAAAATGTTGTAGAATCAAGATCCAATAACGGGCACACGAAATGGCATGAATAGAATTCGTGTTCTCTATGCTTTTCAAGAACTCCTTCCATAACTGAGTTGAATAATCGACCTGAAGATCATAGTATAGACCTACAACCATTGCATAAACTTCCATCCACCCTTTATCTAACCCAACAGTTCTTCCGGTCAAACATCTTAGAAAAATTCCGAACAAGAAATTCCATACACTTGGAAGTCCTAACTTCTTGAAATCACTTATCTTTGTCAACGGTGGTTGATGACCCATTTCATTAAACATATGGACTATTTGTGGGAATGTAAATGAGATATATGGTGGAGAATTAGGTATCTCGAGAATTTGATAAAAAAGCTTCTTGGAAAGTCTAACCTTCTTGTCAGTCACCAGATTAAACAATACTGAATCTAAGGCTTTTGAATAAGTTGCAGTCGATCCCGCTTGAGATAACCATGAGAGAAGAACAGAGAATGAGTTGAACATAGCTTTTGATAATAGGGAACTTTTCAGGGCAACGATAAGCATTTTCAATTCTTCTGGATAGAGAGATACGTTGGCTTCTACTTGATAATTTGTTCCTTGAATCTTCATGAACGATAATAAAGTTACATCATCGGTGGTATGAGATAAAGTTGCATAGGATTAGCAGTCGCCATTGTTAGGGTTTGAGAGTTGGATGTTTATTAGAGAAAATTTGGGAATATGAAAGCGTAAAGTGATAATGAACCCTTGAATCCCCTTTTATATGTAACGCTGAATTTTGAAATCAAAGCGGGATAAGCATTTAATGATCAATGACGGGTCACCGAGAAACCCGCATCATGATGATGAAAAGTAACCATGCGTGATAAAGTAATTGTCATGTCTCCTCAAAACCCGCACGGAATTCAAACACTCTCTTCCAACAGCCTGGATTGTTTGCCCCAATAGAATAGTAACCGTCGGAACCCTTCGGATGGAGTCAAGGCTCTTTTACTTTATGGTTTCAAAGTAAAGTCATTTGCCAAATTTTTGAAATCATCAGCCTGAGTTGGTATTACTCAGAACCTCAAGGATTTCGTGTATGTAAAGTTTGTCAAAGAATAAAGATAAGAAGCAAGTAAATTTTTTTTGGCTATGTAGGAGATAAGAAGCAAGTTGGACCTTGTCCCCTTGGGACAGCGGCTGGTGCAAAAGGCGGTGGCGACATCTGCCAAGCACCCACTGCTAGCAATGGGGTCCCTAGCCTCATGGTAGTCTAAAGCTCCGTAATCTCGGAACTCCCTAAATGTAATCATGCGTGCCCGTACCATAGTCGCCATCTCGGTGTGGAATGCACCCAACCTCTCATCAAGAATCTCCAAAATGCCCTCCTTGACCGTATCATAACCGGGTCAAGTACATACCAAATATAGTTACGGACCTAGACATTAATCCAACTGTCTCCCAGTTGAATAAGTCTAGTAACGATATCTCACACATGACTTCAAAATCTGGTTTAGCAATCGTAGCTCTTATATGTTGTTGTCAACTCTGATCAAAATCTTTTCCTTTAGATAAGGGATCATTTAATCCTCTATTCTAGATATCACGCTGACAATCACATGGAACATAGTCATACTTATTGTTCAACATATTGTTCCTTTATCTCTGATTTGTTTGACATAGAACTTGGTTGAATACATCAACTTCGTCCTGACCAGGCCCGACACATAAATCAAACCAAATCATCAAGTGGCCAGACATCGATTTTATCCTATTAGAATAAAAGGAACAGATAAACTTTGACTTATATGTTTTTATTGTTTACTGGATAAATCATACACAACAATGTCTTTTATAACATCAATTACTGATGTGTTTACACATTATCAATGCACAACTAACCAATAAACAATAACCATATCTCTAGGTTTAAAGATTATATGATATTATCATCTTGCGATCACTCGTGATAAATTCTATGAAGTGATACAAGCAAGCACGGGTTTATTCAATGCTCAAATCACAATTCATAAGCACTCATGAACTTTTCAGCAAACCTTTTCCATGCCTAAAACCTTTTAGACAATTTACAAAAAAAATTCATGATAGTCTTCTTTCATATCTACTTCCAACATATGAGCGGCTGTGGACTGTTTGAATAATCTTATTTTTCAGGAAGTCAAAACATGCAAAATTGAAACAGTACATAAATAATCAACACATGATAGTATCTTTACTTATAAATAACACACGATTATTCATTCATCAAATGTCATGCACAAAGTTATCCATTACACGTTTCCTATATAATCTAAACTTATATCGTCCTTCAGCCCAATGCTCCTAGCGTGCGGCAAGTCTAAATCCATTCGTAAGGGGATCTCTTCACTATGAGGAGTCCCTCTTCTACCCGATGTCTAATGAAATGGTATATTCTATCAATATGTCTGGATCTGCCGTGTTCCCTTGGTTCCTTGGTTAAGGCAACCACTCCTTCATTATCACAGAAAATCTCCATGGGATCCTTTATGGATGACACCACTCCAAGGTCTCCAATGAAGTTCTTCAACCATATTGCCTCTTTCGACGCTTCACTTGCTGCAATGTACTTCAATTCACACATTGAATCAACCACAGTCTCCTGCTTGGAAGTTTTCCAAGTCACTGCTCCTCCGTTAAGGGTAAAGACCCAGCCTGAATGTGAACAGTAATTGTCCCGATCTGTCTGGAAGCTAGCATCACTGTACCATCATACCCTCAAGTCATCACTCCCACCGAGGACTAGAAACCATTCGTTGGTCCTCCGAAGGTACTTAAGAATATTCTTAACTGCAGTCCAATGGGCTCTACCAGGGTTTCCCTGATATCTGATGACCATGCTCAAAGCGAAGGCCACATCAGGGCGAGTACAAGTCATAGCGTACATGATCGAACCAACCACGGAAGCGTAAGGTACTCGGCTCATATCAGCTATCTCTATCTTTGTACTCGGGCTTTGAGTTTTACTCAACTTGGTATTGCTTTGGATTGGTAACTCCCCTTTCTTGGAATTTTCCATACTAAAACGTTTTAGTACCTTATCCAAGTATGTATCCTAACTGATTCCTATCAATCTCTTACTTCTGTTTCTCACTATCCTTATTCCCAGAATATAGGCAGCCTTTTCGAGGTCCTTCATAGCGAAACACTTCCCAAGCCAGTATTTAATTTCCTACAGTGTCGAGATGTCATTTCATATGAGTAGCATGTCATCGACATACAATACGAGGAAGCTCACTATACTCCCACTGGCTTTGACATATACACATGACTCATCTTCAATTCGCAGAAAACCAAACTTTTTGACCTTCTCGTAAAAAAAAAGATTCCATATACGAGATGCTTGCTTCAATCCATAAATGGATTTCTCAAGCTTGCACTCTCTATTGGGGTGCTTCGCATCGAAAAAACCCTCTGGCTGATTCATGTAAACATCCTCAGCCAACTTCCCATTAAGGAAAGCAGTTTTAACGTCCATCTGCCATATTTCATAGTTATGAAACGTAGCTATTGCGAGCATCACCCTAACAGACTTTATCTTTGCAACTGGTGAGAAGGTCTCATCATAGTCAACTCTAGGAGTTTGAGTAAATCTCTTCACAACCAATCGCACTTTATAAGTGTGTACATTTCCCTCAATGTTTTTCTTCTTCTTGAAGATCCATTTGCACCCGACTGTCTTACAACCTGGTACATTGTCAACCAAATTCCAAAGTTGGTTGTCGTACATGGACTGAATCTCGTTGTTCATTGCATCTTTCCATTTAGCAGACTTTGGGCCTATCATGGCCTCCCTCTAGCTGCTAGGTTCGTCCAAACTTGCCAGTGTACTATCACTAATAAACGTATCCCCTTCAGTAGTAATATGGAATCCATACAACTGGGGCGGAACACTAGCTCTACTAGAATGTCCAAGAGGTAAGGACTCATCAACAGGTTCAACAGGAGTTTCCTCCTGAGGTTGATTTCCAGTGTTAGAGGTTCCTTTATCGCTAGACCCTTGAAGCTCTTCAAGATCGATTTGCCTCCCACTGCCTCCTTGACTTATGAGTTCTCTTTCTCGGAAAACCCTTCTTCTCACAATGAATACAACATTCTCACTCAGTCTATAGAAGAGATATTCAAAACACTTTTGTGGATAGCCGATTAAATAACACTTCTCACTACGAGGCTTGAGCTTGTCATGAGTCTCTCATCTTACAAAATCCTCGCAACCCCAAACCTTGATGTATGCCAACGAGGGAGTTTTCCTTGTCCACATCCCGTGAGGTGTTTTGGCAACCTTCTTGGTGGGAACTAGATTAAGGATATGGGTGGCAGTCTCTAAGGCATACCCCCAAAAAGTTATTGGTAATGAAGCCCGACTCATCATGGAACGAACCATGTCCAACAAAGCCCGATTACATCTCTCAGCCACACCATTCAATTGTGGCGTTCTTGGAGGCGTCAATTGCAAAACAATTCTGCATTCCTTAAGATATTTGTGAAACTCAAGACTTAGGTACTCTCCTCCTCAGTATTACGGAAGCATCTTGATTTTCCTGCCCAGCTGAT